CAAGAAAATACCATAAAACCCAGCAGAATGGCTAATGTTACCCTGGTGTTGGCAACAACATTGAGCAAAGGCAATCTTTACATTTCAATGATGTGTATGCAAAATGCCACACTCACTTTGGATAACAACTGGGCACTTTCCTGAAAATTTTAACATATTCCTACCATAATGATTTAGCCATTTCACTTCTAAGCATTTACCCAAAAGGAAACACATGTCCACAGAAATATGCCCTTGCGAACATGCAAAACAGCTTTCTTCATAAACAAGCCAGAAATTAATCAACACGTGAACAGAGAAACTCAGAAGCTAGCCACACCACAGAACACTGCGGAGCACTAAAAAATAAAGAACTGCTGATACACGGAACAACAAGGATTCATCTCAGCAACAGCCTGAGTGAAGAAAGCCAGGCATGAACGAGGGTAAACCCTGCACTGCTGTGCACAAGAATTTCTGCTGGAGAAAGGCTGCTGGGAAAGCAGGGTACAGGCAGGACACAGATCAAGAAACTACTGTAGTGAGCCAGGTGACAAGTGCTGACTCCTAGTGGGTTAACAAAGATCATGAGCTTTGGCCCCGCTCTGTATCTACATCAAAAGTAGACTCAACAGAATTTCTTGAAAGACTCAATTTAGGACATGTAAGCATAGAAGAAATTAAAAGTCAGTCCACAGTCTTAGACCTGAGCAAGTGGCACAACAAAGTTGCTACGAATTGAGATGGAGAAGCAGGTGGGTGCAGTAAGTTGAGGGAGAGCTCTCCCTTTAGAAATACTCAGATGATGTCTAAATGAAGACAAGCAGCTGGGAATTGTATGTACAAGAAAAGATCTAGACCAGAGGCAGCAATTTCAGAGTTTTTACTTCATTTTCTGCAGAAGGGACTCAAGACAGGTAGAGTTCAAAGGAAATAGAACAAAACATCTGAGTAGATTAAAAAAAAAACTATACCAAAAGCAAAAATCTTTTTTTTTTTAAATTACATGGTTTCTTTACATAGCTAAAAAGGATACATGGCCATACAGGCCACCAATTAGAGTAAGAAGGGTCCAGGTATGCAGGTAGGTGGGTGAAGCAAATGCTTTAATTTTTTTTTTCCTCCTGTGTCCACAGTGCGGATAAGAAGAGGGTGTCACTCCTTAGTGTCAAACTACATCAGAACTCTGGGATGGTGAACAGTTGTTTGATGATGAGTTAGAGAACCTGATGTGGGGAAGAGTGTTCCAAGAGTGTTACTTGAGTGGTTTTGGTAGGTCTGAGATGTCATCAGCTTCATTGTACCAGGATTAAGAAAATCTGTCCAAGGCCTATCGGCTGCCAAGGTCCATCTTAGTGCCTTCACAGACCCAGGAACATGTTTCAAAGTTTGGTCAGGAGAGTAGTTCAACCTGTCCTGCTTTTCATCCTTCGGCAGTGGATGTTCCCTGCTGGCTTACAGGAGCTGACTCTCCTGTCCCCAGGCATGCTGTTCACTGTACAGGCATCAACAACTGAGGAGGCCCAGTCCCAACACCCAACATATGCACTCCAAGTTTGGATTTTCCCTGTGGCTAAAATCTGAGTCCAGAAGTCTAGCTGGGGAATCCCCCAAGAAACTTTGCCTGGGTGACCTCAGAATTGATTCTTATGTGTGTAGCCAGTGCAGGGTCAGACGCAGTCTGTCAGCTGCACCAGCCAACATACACACTGGTGAATGCATCTGCCTGGTCAGTTCTACCTCAGCCACATCTCTCACTTGAACTGATGGATAGTGTAGCCTATCCCAGCCCAGACTGCCACAAGTCCAACTTCATGCACACCAGATGATGTCACAGCCTAGTCAGGATGACCCCCCAAAATCTTCACCAGGCCCACTCCCAGCCCCAGTTTTCACATGTGCCAGTTTGTGCTGCAGCCAGGTCTGCTCTTGTGCACATCCACAGTTGTTACAGCTTAGCTCGGTCAGGCCAATCCCCAGACCAGGCCTATATGCATGCCAACAGGTGCTATCATCTTAACCAACTTGGCTTGCCCTCAGCCGTGACTCATGCTCACCAGTAGAAACTGCAGCCCAGCAAGAGAGTGCCCAAAGTTCTCCTACCAGACCTGCTCCCAGCCCCAGATCTTGTACCTGCCAAAGCGTACTGTGACATGTGTACTGCCTGACATGATTTTCACTCATTGCCAACACTTGCCCAAGCTGTGGCCTAGCCAGGCCAGTCTGCATGCATTCTGGCTCTCCTGTGCACCAGTGGGTGTAGTAGTCTAGCTTAGCCTGGCCCATTCTCAGGCCAGCCTGCTTCCAGTTCCAGCTCTCATAGTCACCACTGGAAGCAGCAGCCCAGCAAGGAACTCCCTGAAACTCCCCTACCAAGCCTGCTCCCAAATATCAGTCCCATGCACATGCCAGTAGGAGCTGCAGCCCAGTCTAAAATGGCCCATCCCCAGTCTTGGCATCCACCAGCAAATGCTATAGCCTGGCTCAGCCCAGCCAACCACTAGTCCCAGGTTTTACTTGCAGGTACAGCAACCTAGTCTAGCCTAGCCCATCCCCAGCCCTCATGTGAAATAGCAAGTGTTGCAGCCCAAACAATCCTGGCCTGTACTCCATCTTGGCTCTAATGCATGCCCAGTTATGCTGTGTAGTGGCCTAACCCAGCTGCCCCCTAGCTCGTACATATGCAGATGGGCGCTAAAGCCCAGCATAGTCTGGCCTGCTTTCAACCCTGGCTCTCATGCTCATCAGTGGGAGCTGCAATCTAGCTTGGGAGTTCCCTTACTAGATCTGCCACCAACCCTAAATTTTGCATATATTAGAGGGTTCTGCCCAGCCTGACATGGCCTGCCTCAGTACTGCCACTTACCATCAAGTTCTGTGGTCTTGGCCAACTAACGTGCACCCATTCCATCTCTTACAAGTAGGTGCTACAGCCTAGCCCAGATTGGCCTACCCCAGACACAGCTCTCATGTGAACGTTGAGAAGTTCTATGGCCCAGTCAAACCTATGCCACATCCATTCTGGCTCTTGTGAGTGCCAGTGGGTGCTTGGACCTACTATGGCTCACCCTCAAAACCAGTCCATATATATGCTGATGGGTGTTGCAGCCTTGCCCACACTGGTCCACACCCAGCTCTGGCACTCACTTTCACCAGTGGAAGCTGCAGTCTATCAGGGGTAGGGAGCCTATCAGGGGAACCCCTGAGTTCCCCAACCGGCCCATTCCCAGATGTTGTGTATGCTGGCATGTATTCAACCCAGCCTGGCATTTCCTACCCACAGTCTCAGCTCTTGCTGGCAGGTGTTATAGCCTAGCCTAGCAAGGCATAGGCCATATCCTGTCCTGGCTCAGGAGCATGCCATAGGTTACTGTGGCCCAGCCATGTCTGGTCTGCCCCCAGACCCAATCCATACATGCTTATGGGTGTTGCAGCCTTGCCCATTCTGGTCTACTCCCAGCTCTGGCTATGGAACTCACCAGTGGAAGCTACAACCTAGCAAAGAAGTTCCCAAAGTTCCCCTACCAGCCTTACTCCCAGCCCCAGATCTTACATGTGCCAGCAGCTTACAGGTGCCATAGGCTTGCTTGGTAGGGTCTGCCCTTAGTCCCGGACTTTGTGTTGGTAGGTGCTGCAGCCTGGCCCAGCTTGGCTTCCTCACAGTACTGCTCACAGGAGTATCAGGTGAGTTCTGCTGTCCAGCCTAGACAGCAGCTCTCACCTGACCGTCACTACCCTGTGGTCTCTACCATTGCCCCATCTGGTCAATATTTCTGTCACTTCTGCACAGAAGTCAAGTCCTTCATTTGTTCAGTGTATAGCTCATCCCAGTCATGAAATTACATATGAAAGGTTAAAAACGCATAGAGAATGAGAACTGTTTCTTCACCTGATCTTACCCAAAAGGCGGGGAATCAAGAGGAATTAAGTTTTAAGATAACCATACTTCTCTCCCCACCCCCACACACCAGGAAAATGGAATTTAAAAATATGTTGAGTGCAAAAACATTTGAAATCCATGCATAGCTTTTTTTCATGCTATGCATTTCCATGAACTTTCTGAAGTATTCTTGTCATTGGTTGTTCAGTTCTCAAAAGACACAGCTGCTTTAAAGCAAACTATTACTCTAACTTTCCAGTGGGAGTCTTTGGATATAATCGCACTCTGTGTGGTATGTGTTGATGAAGTCACAAAAAAACATGTAATATGTAGTACTTTTTTTTTCATAACATTCTTCCATAACTGTGAAAGGCCAAAGTGAAATGACCAACTTTGAATAAGCACTGTTATTTACTCTGGCAAGTGAGCCGGGGGAGAAAGGAAAAGATGCAAATGCCCAAAAGGGACACACACACACACACACACACACACACACACACACACACACACACATACACACATACACACATACACACATACACACATACAAGAACTCTGAACAAAAACCCCTACCTCACAATTTGGTTAGTGTGAGTTCTACTTGGCCCATTCCCAATACTTTATACATAGTAGTATACATAGTATTTGCTGAATGAATGCATGCTTGCTCATTTTTCTCCATCTGAAAAAGGAGACACCCCCTCAAAATAAAAAATCTGAAAGATACAGCAACAGGACTGATCTCATGAATGGGCTTCATTTACTCTCCTAAGATCACTTACTAGGGGGAAAAAAAAGAGTTCAGCAATTTCTGGGTACTTCAGAAGCCCTCTAGAAGTTTCCCCTCCCCAGGATTTCAGGGATGGTCCCGGAGGCTGGGAGCATCTCGAAGATTCCCTGTTTGGCCTTAGGGTCCCTTGGAGTGTGGGAAGCGATGGGCTGGAGGGGCAGGCAGGCCAGTCGGCGCCAAGGAGGCCCTGGCGCAGGGGGTGCGGACCCAGCGGCGCGCCCGGCTCTCAGCGCTTGACTCAGCGGTTGCGCCTCCCTCCGTTCTCTCCCCCGCCCCCCTTCACCCTCCCACGTTCCCTCCCTTTCTCCTCCTCCTCCTGCCTCCGCGAACGCTGCCAGACCTCGCCAGCTCAGACCCACGGGGCTGCCCTCCCCTGCGCACTCCCCTCGCTGCCCGGGCCGGAGCGCAGCGCGGCCGCGCAGGTAGGAGCCCCGGACCCCGGTATTCACCCCGGGCGCACCCAATGCCCGCCGGGACCGCGCACCAAGGAGTGAGACGGGGAGACCTGAGGGGTGCAAGAGCTCCCTCCATGCACACACCGAGCGTTGCCCCAGCTTGCACAGGGTCCCCCTGGTAGAGAGGGTGGTGGAGAGGTGCGCGGCTTGGAATGCAATCTATCCAGCAGGACCCAGTCCTCGGCTGACATCTGTCGGGATGGGCAAGTATGTGCGCCCCGACGGCAAGCCAGCAGGGCTTTGCCCCAAAGGTGGTTCGGAAGGCTCCAGGGAATCACTGTGCAAGATCGCAGCCACACCTGGATTCCACAGGAGCTGGTTGGAAGCTGCGGCGCCAAGCAGCCGAGGCGCTGCTGGCTGGTCACTGCTCAAAAAGGGATCTTATTTCCCTGCGGGTGGCCGAGGCGGGAGCCCAGGACTGGTGCTTTGGGCTCCAGGCGCTCCTTGTGGAGGATAGCCCCGGTCCTTGAATTAAGACACGAGGCGATCGGACTTCCCGGGCTGCTCTTTCACACAACCCGAGGTTTTTAAACAAACTGTAGAGAATGGAATGGAAATGCCGGGGTCGGGACGGGGACGGAGGGAGGGGGTCGTGATGAGAGAAGCAGCGGTAGCATTTTCTCTCAGAACATAATAATAGCGATCAATTGAAAGTTTGAGGCCAAGGTAATTCTTACTGGTTCGCAGAAATGCTTGCTAACTTGGCGAGGAACTCTGCTTCCTGGAGGTGTTAATAGAGGAAAAGCTTTAACCATCCAGGGAAATTCCTGCCCCACCTCGAGCTCTGGAGGGAAAAAAAATACGATTGCTTTGAGATTGATTATCGTATTTTTCCCCCTTCATCCCTGGTTCTGGGTCTGCTAGGTAGATGCAGTAGAAAATCACGCCGAATATCCTCTGTATATAATTGCGAACTCAAAAGCTCGTGGGAAAATGCAATTCAAAGATAAATTTATTTTGGTGCAGAAAATGTGGAGTCCATACAGTTGTTTGTTTGTTTTCATACTGCATGTTTTCCGAGCACATTTTGGAGAGCCCTCATAAAGAGAGGGAGAAAAATAAAATGTAATTCTGTAACCGCGGGTCGTGAGCGCCTAGTTTTGGGGGTTGTGGGGGAGGTTGGAAAGGGGGAGGGGAGATGAGAAGGCTGATTGGAAGTTGGGTGCGGTGGAGCCTCAGCTCCCTCCCTCCACCTCCAAACCTTCCAGCCTCTGCCCGTTGATTCACTGCCAAAGTTTTCTTTCCCCTGCAGCCAGCACTAAACATCCGTTTGTCCTGTTTTCTTTAAGATTCACAATGTTGAAAGCCTTTTTTCTAACTATGCTGACTCTGGCGCTGGTCAAGTCACAGGACACAGAAGAAACCATCACTTACACGGTAAGGGATGAGGGGATTGGAGATCAGTGCAGTGATGATGCTGCATTGTAAGACCCAGAAAGAGGTACCCCATCCCTATTGGTGTCGGCGGGCTGTAAGGGTGAAGGGTGATAAATGAAACAGAACTTCACCACAGTTCACATTTAAGATTTGTTGGAAATTGCTCCTGGTCCTTTCACAAATTCATGTGGAGCACCACCTGAGGTGAGGACCCGAATGTCATTTGTGCAAGGCCAAAAAAGAGAACCCCTTTAAATTAGAACCAAAGTGAGCTACATGTGTGCAACATAGTCAGTAAATTAATGGGGTTAAGAAACCAGATGCCTGAATTCCTGCCTATTCATGCATACAGGTAAAAACCTACACACTCAAGTCAAATAAGAATGCCAAGCCCATTTGGGGCTGTGACATATATTGTCCTGTAAGTGATCTTTACTGCATTCCAAAGCCTATAGATAGGTTTAGCGTTTAATAAACTCATCCACATGCCCTTTAGATACGATTTGTGTCACCTGTACCAGGTGCAAGATTTGCTAAAAATGGTTTTTAAATGCTGTTTGTGCAGCTTAGTTTTGTACAATCTAAACAGTATCTCTGATGTTTCCAACTAATACTTAATTAACTGCATGAAAACAATTAATGTTTAATAAGAAATTGAAAATATCAGTTGGTTCCTCCCACTGCCAGGAGTAGATACAGAGAGACCAGCATAGGGCATCCTTATACCATTTCTTTGTGAGTTTGCTTGCACCTCTCCTCTGTGTTTTCCTGTCTTTAAACAGTGCTGTGAGGCAGATGACATTTGTCCTGGATTGAGATATGAAAAACACATTTTTCTGTTTGCTCCCAAATTAAAATTAAGTAATCCTACTGAAAAGAATGTGAAAAATTTTGAAAATAAAACTCTAGAAAGTGAGCTAATGTCAATTACCGATAATAAACATTATCTCACTTTGTGTTATCCCTAGAATGTGAGCATTCACTTGGCAAATACTCTTTTCTGTTTTTCAGATCAACTATAAATAAAATATTCTAATATAAATGTTTGCTAGATTGATGTTAAATGCACTTGCCTCCCTTGCTAAAGATAAATAAAGCAAGAAAAATGAATGCATATGCTGTTAATCTTCAAATAAAAATGTTTTGTTAGTCTGGCTAAATTTAATACCTTCATTGCTCACTTTTATACTCTTATCAAATGAAATATTTTATTGCTTTTATAATTATTTATTATATGCATCTTTTCTTTTGCTAATAGCCAAAGTCTTATTTTTAGCAGAGAAATTTCTCTGTGGATTAGACATTACAGTTTTAGGAGCACTAACTAGGAAATGTTAATATTGTCATAAACCCTTTGGTTCTAAAATTAGTTCTATCTTCTTCTGAATTGTATCCGTCTAGTAGTTTGTAATTGAAGGACAGGATATAGCCAGTGTACAGTTATTCCACTGTGAAGACATTATCTCCTTTTAGTTTTTGAGTGAAGTGTGAGGTAAGTAGTATCATCCTCCTGCTGATAGTACTGTGGATCATAGAGTGTCTAACTAGATGGCCAGTGAGTGGGGAAGCTAAATTTCATCTAGGCTTATTTAATGGTAGACCCATATTAAAGGTACTGGAATCAAATACCTACAGCAAACCACAAACCTTCTCCATGTACAATATATACTGTTCAAATGCACTGGCATTTTTACCAATCCAAAGAGTGGCCTGGCAATTGCAAGAGAGCCTCCTGACCCCTTCCATACTCAAGATGTATAAGCAAGTTCTATCACTATCAGAAGAATTTAGGTTGGTTTGTTTCCTAAAACAACCCAGCCTGAAAGTAGTTTATTCTAAGAAAAAAGACACTATTGAGAACTACAAAGTTGCTAAACTGGTGCTAATGAGACTGTTACACAAATTATGTCAGTTACTAACAAGGAGGTGACTGGTGTTAGTGCTAGCTGATTCCTGAGTCTTTATGACCTTCTTTTGATATGAAAGGACTGAGTGGCAGCTAAGTCACCTGGTATGGCATCAATAAAGGCTGGAGATGAAAACACCCAAAACAGGGCCAGGACACAATAAGGTCAAGTCTGCTAGACTGGTAGTGGAAAGAACCTGCAAGGCACCTAGAGATCAGGGTAATAATGAGAGGTGAAAAATCTGCAGGTGACTGGTAGCCTCTCAGAGGGAGAAAACAAGAATGATGGTGGAGGAGGCAGTGTGCACAATGAAGAGACGCCAAGCTCTGCCCGCCCACTCAGGAGCCCAGAAGAGCTTGTACCAATATGCCACATGTGGAAACTGGCACATAGCAGCAGAGTTTAGAGGAACATCAATGGGGAAGTCAGGAGGTGTTAAGAGTGGTATCCCCAAGTTCTAAGAAACATGGTTGCATCTTGGATATGTTTGGGAGATTGAGAGGAGCCAGTCTGGAGAATAACTATGAGCTTAGCTTTCATTTTAGGAAAGTTCAAATAGCAGTAAAATCTTTCAGTTGACCTCCGCATCCATTCAGTTACTTCTACAGTATGTTTGCCAAGTCTCTGTTGTGTCCCTGACAAATCTCAACCCTGTTACGGCATACATTTTTTGGCTCCACTTTTGCACAGTCCTTCCTGAAGCATCTTCCTCATGGTGACTCTCAAATGAGCATCCAATCAAATTGTTTCCTGAGATTAAAAATTGTCAAGGTGGAGCCCATAGAAAACCTGTGTGGAATTCATGTGGGATGTTTAGACCCCACCTTACACTTTATGGAATCAGACTCTTTAGGGAGCCCATGAATATTGCATTTTTATAATAGACATTCCAGATGATATCTGGGCGTAAAGCTAAAGAACCGCTGATCTTCAGGGTGAAATCTGATTCTTCCCTGTGCCAAAGAGAGGTTTCCCAGACTTGGCCCAGTCTCTCTAACCTCACCCTTACCTTGAACAACCTGCAGTGCCTTCTGTCTTCAACAATGTTTGCATTTACTCCTAACGGTCCCTCTTTCTTGAATTCCCATATATCCTGGAAAATTCTGTTCTTGGAACACCTAATCCTCTGACCACCTCCTCGCTGCCCTGTCACACCCATCTACCCATCACACAGTCCCCAGCTGTGTCCCCCACTACTTCCTCACACACACACACTTGTGTTGACTCCATGTGAAAGCTTGCTCCAACTTGTCTACCCATCTGTCTGCCCCTCTGCCCTGTGGGGTTCTTGAGAAGGTGGCCAAACTCATGATTACCTATGCATTCCCAGAGCCTAGGATAACGCCTACAGTGAGAATGTTCCTGTGAGATAGTTTATGCAGTGAGTGAACCAGTGAGGCTCTATAGGAACTGAGGCTAGGAGGAAGGGCAGGTGTGAGAGGTAGGTGGGAAAGGGGAAAAAAAGGGTGAATGTTTGAATGGCTTAGTAGTTAAAGACTGATGAAAAGGAACTCGGCTTTTTCATTTATTTTTAAGTAAAATGTACAATATAGAAAAATGGGGCAAATATTTTTCTAAAGAACAGATAGATTAAGAAAGATCACTCTGAATACGGAAAGACAAGAATTCTAACAAGATGGTGATGAGCAGTTAACCCAACAGAAGAGTAGAGGCAGCTGATGATTAAGACAGGAACCTCAGAGCTGCCAAATCTTGTCCTTGAAAAAAGGTCTATGACTAAGCTAGAGAATGTGAAACTGCCCATCTCATCATAATATTTGGACTCCAGCACAAGGGCATCTCTGTAAGAATGGGACTTCTCAGGGAGGAGACAAACCAAGTAACTATCTCCTGGCCCTGTCTTGGTTGCTTTCTTCACAGCAATGCACTGACGGCTACGAGTGGGACCCTGTCAGACAGCAGTGCAAAGGTAAGCCAGCTTCAGAAATTGCTCCCCTTTGAACTTGGCTTTTTGTCTCTTTTGCATGCATCGCCTCTCTGTCCTGTTTGTCTTACACCAGAAAGGCATGGGCATATATTTACATGTTTTCTTTTACCTCTGAAAAGAGTCCTGACTTACGTTATTACTACCACAGATATTGATGAATGTGACATTGTTCCAGACGCTTGCAAAGGTGGAATGAAATGTGTCAACCACTATGGAGGATACCTTTGCCTTCCCAAAACAGCCCAGATTATTGTGAATAATGAACAACCTCAGGTAGAATCACCACCAGCAGCCGAAGCAGCCTCGGGTGCCACTACCGGAAGTGTAGCTGCCAGCAGCATGGCAGCCAGTGGAGTGGTGCCTGGGGGTGGATTTGTGGCCAGTGCTGCTGCAGTTGCAGGTCCTGAAATTCAAACTGGCCGCAACAACTTTGTCATCCGGAGGAACCCAGCCGACCCTCAACGCATTCCTGCCAACCCTTCCCACCGGATCCAGTGTGCAGCAGGCTATGAGCAGAGTGAGCATAACGTGTGCCAAGGTGAGCATGATTTCTTTCACTAAAAAGAACATTCTTGCCCAAGTGCACCTTGTGCTGAGGATGACACTGGCTCACAGAGTGGGGACTTCCCTGGTGCTACATGTTATACTATGCGCTTTTTTCTGCATTAGCATAAGCACTGGAGTGTTCCCAATAGGTTGTTGCTATGGGTATCATCATTTTACTGTGGAGAAAATCGTGGCTAGGAAAGCTCATCAGTGGTTCCCAACCCTAGATGCACACAACTAGAGTCACTTGGGAACCCTGAAAACTACTTCATGACAAAGCCACACGCTAGCCCAGTTCCAGCCTCTGGTGGGGGCGGAGTGGGGGTGTAGGGAGGTTCCTGGCATAGGAATTTTTTTAAGCTTCCCATGAGGTTCCAAGTGCAGAGCCAAGTATGAGAACCAGAGGCCACACAGGTGGTAAATGCAGAACCAGTCTTCAGATCCAGGCAGGTAAACACTAGATTCAGAGCTACCAAAGCAGTGGTCAGTGTGTTCATCTGGAATTTGAAATTGTGCTGTAAGTTACTGCATCCTTTAGTTTCTCGATGCTCTTATCACTCAATTTGCCACTGAACTTGTTTTCCTCACTCAGAAATAAAGAATGGGCTTGAGCTTTTATTGAAAATCTTGGAGGGAGCCTTCATTTATCCCATTTATGTCCCTTTTAAAGCTGTCATGTGAGCACATTTTCATTCTGTCACTTGCACCATGGCATCATCTGCCTGGGCTTCTCTGTTTATTTTCACAAGGAGTACACATCAGTGTGTGTTCTAGAAACAGCTGTAGGCTCATGCTAACAAAGTGATAAGAATCTTGGGCTTTGAAGACATGTAGAGCATTAACGAACTGGACTGTGCTGAACAATTTTATTTCCCTTTTTCTTCTTAGCAAACCCCTTCAGAACTGCCTGATGTAACAACTGTGTTACAAGATGGCATGAGGGACTGGGTAGCTCCCTGTTACCCAGGCTCCCTGGTACCACCACATGAGGGCTGTGGAAAGAGCCCAAAATTTCTGACTTTCTGACCTCTTAGAAACAAGGAAGAGAGGATCTTCCTTCCTTAACACGGAGGGGCTCAATCAGGATTATACAGCTGTCGCATTAAGATGATGCAGCTCCTGGGTGCCCTGGGAAGCTTCCCTCATTCAAAGGCACTTTGTTTTATCTTCTGCCTGAGAGACACTAGATTTTTTAAATGGCTTATAAATGAAGTAAGCAAATATCCCATGATCTGACTTTCATTATTCTCTATTTTATGTTCAAATTTTAAGTACCCCACATCAATAGCTAACTCGTGCTTGGACGGTGTCACTTTTCAGAGGGCACATTACATTAGCATCTGTTTCATGTTACTGTCATGAGTCAGAGTTCCAATATCGATGATGAATGCTTCAGCATCTGCTCAATATTCTGATATTGAATTTAAGGATCATGTCAGGGAGTTACACTGCTCAAGTTATTGTTATAGAACATTTGGGTAAATAATGATAAAAATACCTTGAGTTTCTTTATGTACCAACTGTCAGAGATGTTACTTAAATATAAAATTAGGTCAGAAGATTTAGTTGTATTTTTACTGAAAAAGGTTTGCAGATAACTTTTTTAAAGTGCTGACTTTTATGGACTGAGTTATTTTTAGCACTTCAGATGCTGTATACTTTTATGGCACTTAGGAGGGGGAAAAAGATAAATAAATGGATAATTTCCTAAAGTAGTTTTCACTTCATCATTGACACTTTGGATTATGTGCAAGAATGATACCTAAACTGAAGGAAGAAATTCTATAATTATGCATACTTAAGACTAACAAAAATCATTGGTCATAGTAGAACCTGTATTACAAACCAAGGAAATGATATCCTATTTTGTTTTATCAGGGAAAATATTTAGATTACATCAAAATACCTTTCATTTAATAAAACATTTCTAATCATTCTGGTGACTATAAACTGAACATTTAACTGTTTTTGCACAGGGAAGATGTTAAAAACATATTTATTGTATATACCTAGAACATTCCCAACCCAAACTGCTCTATCTAATTCAACCAATTTCTAAAACTTGGGATTGGAGTCTGTACCACTGAAAGCTGGGTTAAAAGTTTTTTGGATGACTTAAGGCTTAAGTTGGATTTCTTCCCATTTCACAATTTTACAAAGTGCCCATAAATGTGGATTTACTTAATTGTTGATAAAAGGCGGTTATTTCATATGATAACAACAGGATAATCTATCTAGGGAATCTGACTAACATAAGTCGAGTAACACTTATGCCCGTTTATTATTGAGCTAATCAAACATGCAGTCCAGCTTCTTCTAATTGCCTGCAGATGTATGACTTTCTCATTCCAGGCCAGCAGCACAAAATAACGTTTTATAACTAATGTGGAAGTGTGGAGACCTCTGCTTAAAATAATAATATGCTCTAAGAATCTATATTTCTGACATCATGATGGAGTTTGAGGAACCTTCTGTTTTAATAAAGATCTCCATTCCCATTTGAATGTTACATACTTATACCCAATAATCCAAACACATTTAATATGGCAGCTGAATTAGAATAAATGAAAGCCCACAGCTGAGTCAAACATATAAAAATTATTTCCTTTTTCCACATATATTTTTCAGTAGGTATAGCTTATTATTATATAACTGAAAACTGAGAATATTTTTATGTAAGGGTTGAAATCTGTCCTTTAGTCTTAAAATCAATTATATCTTCAAATGTACTATATCACAGAAAGCTTATAATTGAAGTAATACTATGAGATTCTTTAATGTGCAGTATAAACTGTCTAAGCTTTGACAGTTTAATTTTTTAAATGACACTTTTACTCTTTTTTTGCGTGTGTTTCCTTTTAGTTTTGTGAAAAAAAAAAAAGAGATTTGAAATGTAATATAACACCCAACAATCAAGCCACAGTGAACAGATATTTTCAGATAATTTTTGTCAAATGAGGGGGCTTCTGGTCACAATAAGTTTCACATGACTGGTATTATCCTTGGCAGCTATAAAGCTATATGAGGGTAATTTCAATATTATATGTCTAGAGTCATAGCTTTAGAAAATTAATTAATTCCATGACATTATGTACCTCATATTTAGCAGATATTCATATCTGCCAAAAGGAAGTTGGACGAATAAGAAGTATGTTGTAATCCATTATGGCTCATCTTTAGTTTTCTAAGTCGTTAGGGCATAGCCTTTATGTAATCCTCCTCAAAAATGATGGAGTTACAAATCACCAATTCAAATTGAGATGGGATTGTTTTTATCACATATAATTTTCCAAGAGTTCTATTTTTGTAGCAGAGAAAAATCATTTGGGCATTGACAAGAAAGAGAAAACATTGATTGTTCAATTTAAAGGATTCTGTTCATTTAATAGGACTTGCAAAAACTTATACAACATATCATAAACATAGCTGGCAATTAAGCTACTGCAAGACCTGATCATATGTCAATCTATGACTGCTCAGCTGCTGTAGGAACTATGTTGTCAATGAATAAACCCAATTCAGATACCTTATGGAACAGAATATGGAGCCAAATCCGGAGTATGGTAGCTGGGTCTTGTGATATAAAGGTGTCACTGAGGGACATGAAAACATACCTTAGAATTTCAACTGTCTCTGTCTTCCAGGACTGTTTGGGTTGTAAAAGTTCCATGTACCAGAAAATATCAAAATCTCATGCAAGCAGAAGAGTTGATCACTCTGGCATAGTCCTTCAGCCAAATCCCTCTATATCACAGCTAACAGTGAGCAAGTTCTAAGTAGAGCCATTTCTCAATGATCTCGTTTCTCCAGTGAGGTTATTCTATTAAATTTGGTTTGATTTTTCATCAAGCAGATTTCATTGACTTCTAAGTACTTGGACAGAACCTTTCTTTGCCCTTTTAGGGATTCTACCCAGCAGTTCCCTAGTGTGAAGGTCTCCACACAGTTTCAAACTTCACATCTTAGAGACCCAGACTATACAACAAACTTAGAAATATGCTTCACCATATAGGCTCATTTCTTCACATTTCTGCTTGGAAAAAGTTCACACCCTGCTTCTTCTGTACATTTTTATGTTTTGCTAATTGTTTTTCAATTTTAAAATATGTTTTCAATGATTGATTTCATTCTTGTCACTAATTAGGCTATAGAAGCAACTAAGAGGGTTTTTTCTGTCATTGCTTTCCATAAAAAAAGCTTTTGCATATCTTTTTAAAAGTATTATTTTATGATACAGCTCCATAGGCTCTGGGATTTCCTTTTCTCCTTTACCAAAACCTCTCCCTCCACTGATTTCCCCTATATTATTATAATAGTACAGTCCTTCATAAACAATCCATAAGTTGGTCATTCTGCTATTTAAGCGTATCCTGACATTGTAGGTATGGACAATGGCAGAGAGTCCAGTATCATATTATCATATTTAACAGTTTCACTTTTTGAAAATAATTTTCTTTCTATAAAATCTAAAGGAATAAACAATGCTCTGGGGACCATCTGTTATCTTCTGTATATTTCTTTATGAACATAAAGATAACTAAAATACTGTTTTGAGAAGGAAAGAAGTTATTATCTATACATCTGCTTTGAAAAGGGAAACTTGAATTAACAAGTTAAGCTTCGCAGATACTTGGGACATCTTTCTTTGACTTCTTTAATTTTAAAATTAAATGATCTAATATCCAAAAAAGGATTTATAAATTATAGTGTAATCAAGAGGTTCTGCATACCTGGCATTGTTATTACTAACTTTCAAACACTGTCCTTTTGTTAATCCTGACTAATGCTATTAAGTTCTCTGCCTGCGTGGGTTAGTTTTGTGAGGAAATGCCTAATTTTCATTACATATAATTATACAGCCCAGTGAAGAACTTTGATCTCAGAAAATAGATATTTTACAAAAGGAAGACTATAATTGAGTAAATTATGATATTAACTTAAAAAAATACTTGAAACAGAAAGTAAAACAAGCATGTAGCGTGCTTACAGTTC